TTCAAGAGTTTTGTGACCCATTGGGGACTAGAAGATGGATCTCCCAAGCTTCAGTTTAACAGTTTCTCAACTAGAGAGAAACTGTGGGAGAAAAAACTCCTGTCTGCTTGAGGCAAGTGTGAATGTTGCAATTGGCCACCTTGATTAGCATCTAATGTACTTGCAGCTTCAAGTCCTGGCTGGTTGCTGCCTGGGGATCCTTTGTTGGGAGGTGTTAGCTGGCCCTGATTTATTCTTGTCTGGAATTCCTGTTTTGTGGTGGTGTTATTTATTTACTGTCCTGATTTTAGTGGGGGTGTTTTTAACTCTAAAGAATGCTTGCCATGGATGTGGGTGAAATGTCAGGAGAGAATGCTTCTAGAACATGGCCACACAGCCCGGAAAACTCACAGCAACCCTGAACTCTTGATTTCTTATCAAGAAAGTAACCAAGAGCTTAGTAAGAGCCCCTTCTTTGCATAAAACAGCCTGGGAAATGTGTTCAAAACAGAATGAAATTGGCCTTCACAGCCTTAGTGTATATAGCAGAGTGTTACAATTCAATTTTATTTTTAAAAGTTTCTAGAGTGGAAGGCATGTCAGTAGGTGGGGACATATGTCAGGGTGGATTGTGTAGCAGGAGGTGTTGCTGGATGTATGACTGAACACATCAGTGAAATCAACATAGACCAGATGTAAACCAGTGCTTGAAAAATTACATTTTTGACTAAAGCTGTAAAACATTCTGCAACAAAGCCATGATGTTTAGATCACTGTGGAAGCTAAATATCAAAACATAACTTGCAAAGGCTCTGAAGCAGACTTATCCATCCTCCCATATTTGTGTTTTTATTAGGTGATGTAGTATGCTAGTAGTATAAAAGCAAACTACACCATAGCAGCATGCATCTTGGGGAAACAAGTTAATTATATGACACAAATGAATGTAAGAAATAATTCATTTGTATCTTGAAAAGAAATTACTGTAGAATAAACCGGTTTCTGGTGCTAATAAGTATACAGAAGAAGAATTGATCTGAAATTAAATCCGTCAGATCATGCTCATTTTTTTTGCAAATAATGAATATTGTATTAAATCTGCTTTTTAAAACGTGCAGTTGGTTTTTATATAAAAGCAATTTGACTCAGAGATTAGTAAAAACTGTCTTGCTTACTGGCATTATGCACTGAAGAGTAACAGTGATAGAAGGAACATGAAACTATTAATGCTCCAAACATTTGATTATCACTAATCACTGGGTTTTTTTTTAATCTTTAGAACGGATGAAGTTTAAAATCTTTCAAAATTATTTTTTGTCAAGGACAGATGGGAAATGCTTCATCATTTGTTAGCCGAATGGTAGTATCAATTTCTGTTTAAACATGGACAGGGTGATGCCAAATATTAGTCAGTTCCTAATAATTTTGAGGGATTAAAAAGATAATAAAAGTAATAGTCCATTACATTACCTACTTCAGCAGGATTGTAATGAACATAATAAATTCCAGATCAGGGTTATAACAACTTCCATCTATTCAAAATGAATTTGTAGGGTTACTTTCATTAACTATGTATATGGAGAAAATGATCTGACATATTGCTTTAAAAGAGCTGTAAAACCGATTAGAAGGAAATATGTTTCCCAGACAGCAATTCTGGCTGCTGGGGAAATTCTCTCCATGGGAAGAAGGAAAAGCGAGGACAGGGCTTCAAGGATGTCAGAGCATTGTTACTTCTGCATACCTCCCAGGCTGCTGGGGAGATATGATGGAAACCATCAGAGGCAGGAAGAAACCCAAAGAGGAAGGAAAGCTGACATCTTTCTTGGTTCTCTGTTCCCTGTAAAGGAAGGCCCTTGTTAATGAGTTATCCGGGTTTTCATCTGTGCCCTGGGAAATTTCTGCATGGAAATGAAACTGTTCCTGGCACAGGAATGCCCTTTTGGCAGCCCAGGGGAAGGCTGAGGTATTAAAGGGAACCATGCCCTCATTGCCGAAAGGAGGCAAGGGAGCTAGCACTTGACTGCACTACAGAAATTACTGCGGCACCTAGAATGTTGGCTTCATTTATCAATTTCATAGCAGCAGGAGAAAGGGGGGAAGAAAATCCATACGCCTGCCTGCTCGCCTGCCTTTACAGCTGTGTGTGAAATCTAGTCTCCAAAGCCAGCCATGTGTGTTATCAGGAGTCTTGGAGAAAGTAACTTAATGCTCATGATTTATACCTAATTGGATCTCTAAGTGATTAAAGTGGCAGTAATGAATGAAAACCAACTAATACTCACCACACACCCCACCCCCATCAATTTGGCCCAAGGGACTAGCCTTTTGTATACAGCATTTTGAAAGGTGGATGTGGGGTATACGGAATACTTCTACAACAGAGGCTTGCTCGGAGCATCTTTTAGAATGAATGCATCCATTTCAAATTATATGAAATGCACACATAGAAGAAAGGAAGAGATTGTTTAATTGCAAATACCAGTTGAATATCCCTTATCCAAACTCATGGGACAAGAAGGAATTTTTTTTGGATTTTTGGATTTGCATATGTGTAACATAATTATAGGAGCTCCCGGTGGCGCAGTGGGTTAAACCACTGAGCTGCTGAACTTGCTGATCAAAACGTCACAGGTTTGAATCCGGGGAATGGCATGAGCTCCCACTATTAGGCCCAGCTTCTCCCAACCTAGCAGTTTGAAAATGTGCAAATGTGAGTAGATGAATAGGTACTGCTCTGGCGAGTAGGTAATGGCACTCCATGCAAGTCATGCTGGCCACATTACCTTGGAGGTGTCTACAGACAATGCCAGCTCTTCATCTTAGAAATAGAGATGAGCAACACCCCCCAGAGTCAGACACAACTGGTCTTAATGTCAGGGGGAAACCTTTACCCTTTACTACCATAATTATGGGATTCAAATCTGAAAGCAAAATTCATTTATGTTTCAGATATACACATAGCCTGGATGTACTTTTATACAATATTTTAAATAAATGTTTGCACAAAACAAAGTTTGTATGCATTGAATTAGCAGAAAGCAAAAGGGGTCACTATCTTAGCTACCCATGTGGATAATTTTATAATATGAAATATTTCAGATTTTGGAATTCTGGATAAGGGATGTTCAACCACATTTGGATAAATGCATTTACAGAGCTGTTTGAAACACAGCAAAAATGTTGGCTTTGTCAAAATAATTATTGATTTAAAAACTAACACTGACAAACTAGTTTTATAAGTATGTGAAAAATCTAAGCTAGTTACAACTTATTTCTTGTCAAAATCATCACCATAAATCATCAGGTCCAACTGAAAGTTGATTTATTTTTTTAAAATGTACACAAAGCACATCAAATGCCACAATCTTTATCCATCATGTTTCACTTTTGCCATTCCTTGAATAAGAAATGGCAACAATGGAAACTCACTTTTAAACACTACAGTCCTCACAATCCCACACTGGGCATCCTGGTTATGGGATTCTGGGAGCTGTCCTCTGAAAAGGCAAGTTTTCTGTATTCTGACAAAAATGCATTGGGTGTCCTTTTTAAAATACAGTAGAGTCTCGCTTATCCAACCTTCACTCATCCAACATTCGGTATTATCCAGCGCAGTCTGCCTCCCATCCGGACCCAAAGCTGGTTCAATACATTGCAATGTTTTGGTGCTAAATTCATAAATACAGTAATGCTACCATGTATTGAACTGCTTTTGCTGTCTATTTGTTGTAAAACATGATGTTTTGGTGCTTAATTTGTAAAATCATAACACAATTTGATAGAGTTTTCCTTAATCCCTCCTTATTATCCAACATTTTTGTTTATCCAACATTCTGCCAGCCCGTTTATATTGGAAAAGTGAGACTCTACTGTACATCCATTTTCTATAGCAAGTTTGGAAGTTTTCATGCCATAGCTTGCTTTGTGCTAAACCACAAGGAAGAAAACCAAAAATCTTAAAATTTCCCATCTTTGGTTAAGAACCCAGACTTATTAGACAAAGAAGTCACCTGGTCATAATTCTTCCTGTTTGGGTGAAATATGGTGATAAAATATTTCAATGAATTAGTTTGTGCAATTTTATGTAAAGCGGTGGCCCTTTTTGTCTTCTATAGTGGCCACCTATACCTAAAGAAAGAGAATATAGAGTTGCAAATGCCCTGATTTGTTTAGCTTTAAAACATCTTGGTGAAGCAAGTTGAAACCCCTACAAAATACCCTGAGCTTTCACCATACTTGCAGATGATGAGGATTCAGGAGGCATGGGAACATTCTCATCAGATTCTGAGTGCCGATTACGATCAGGAACAGGCTGCTGTCATGGGTAATAAAGTAGGAGAGCAGGTGTCAAAGGAACTTCCTGATTAATAGAGCATTACTTACAATGTCACTGACCCATAAGACAACCTTTGGGTTTCATTCTGCTTGTCATGCTGGCATCAGCCTGGAACGATGCCACTGAGACTGCAGCAGCTAAGAAAATGCTTGGTGTGTGAGCACAACCCATTCCTCTGTCTGTTTAGTCAGAAGCAAGTTCTACTGATCCCACTGAACTCCCTCCAAAGACTAGAGTCAGTGTGGCTTTGTGGCTAAGCATCTAGTGTTATGGTTAGAGTCCTGGGATTTGTAGTTTGGGGAAGCAGAAAAGGCAACCTTGTGAAATGACAACTCCCATTATTCCTTAGAATTGTGCCATTGAAGTAAAAGTGGTGTCAAACTGCATTAACACCTACAGTGTAGATGCACCCTCAGAGAGAACCTGGGGGGATTCAGATTCTTGTGTACCAAGAGAATTTGAGTCAGTCATTTTCTTTCAGCCTGCTCTTCACAGGATTACTGCAAAGATAAATGTAGGCAAGGGAAAAGGCCATTTTGCATTGAACCCGTTGAAGAAACAAGAAGGCAAGATTTGATTGCTTTTTTGACTTATATTTCATTTTTCTTCCTAGACTGAAAAAAAAGTATCTATGTATATATACATTTTTTTAAAGTGTCATTCTTCCTTCTTTCCCATATAGCAACTTGTACCTTCTGAGAAGTGGCTCCAAAGGAGAAGGAAACCTTTCTGGACCATTTCAGAAGTGATGGATAGAGAGTTTCCTTCAGCAAAAAAAAGAAGACAAAACAATTTGGTTATTGATGTACAATTATTCCATTAGGTCTTCTGACAAATAATAAGTAGCTAATAAAATAATTGCTCTGCCTCCAATGATTTTTCTCTCTCTTTCTCTCAAGATGGTCAGAATATTGTGGAATAATACTGGGGTTTTTTCTCTCTACAGTTAATCTTGTGGACATGGAGCTTTTTCCTACCTTGTTGTTGTTGTTGTTGTGTGTGTGTGTTAGGAGTAAACCATAGTGAAATGTCTGAATTTTCGTATACAGTAGAGGCTTGCTTATCGAACATAAATGGACTGGCAGAACATTGGATAAGCAAAAATGTTGGATAATAAGGAGGGATTAAGAAAAAGCCTATTAAACATCAAATCACATTATGTTTTTACAAATTAAGCACCAAAACATCATGCTTTACAACAAATTAACAGGAAAAGCAGCTCAATACATGGTAACATTATGTAGTAATTACTGTATTTATGAATTTAGCACCAAAATATCACAATGTTTTGAAACTGCTGTGGATCTGGACGGGAGGCAGACTGCGCTGGATAATGCAGAATGTTGGAAGAGTGAAGGTTGAAAAAGCGAGACTCTACTGTATCTATATTTGATAACTAATGAAATTAAGGCTGGAAAAGAGTGAAATCAAGATTGACAGATGTGTTCATACTTAACTGTAACATATGTAATGATATATTTGTAATACTTAATTTTTAAATACTTAACTGTAAGATTTAAGTGTAGCACATTTTACTTTTACTTAATTGAGAATAAATTTGTTTGAGTTAGGCATAAAATATGCAATCAAACATTCTTACATCATACTCTACAATATTTGATAGCAATTATAAACATGAGGCTGCATATTGTTGTATATGTTACCATTTGAATATATAATAAACACATTCCATTTTTGAATAAACATTGTTGACCTGCTTACCCTCTCAAACATTGTTAGTCATCTGTTCATGGTTTTAAACACACACACACACACATATATATCAAAATTTGACATGTACATTATTGATGTTGGCAAATTTTGTAGTTGTGAACCATTTCCTCCAAATTTCTCTTCCAGCTTCAGATGTTACATGAGATTCTGAATATGAATGAATCAACAGTTCAAAAAATCAGACCAAGTTGCCTCAGAGGGAGAGTCATATCCATCAACATTTTACAGATGAAAACAAGGGCATGTGTGGCCAGGAAAAATGAGACTGTAGTTAACATTGCAAAGGTCATTAATGAGGAAGGAGAGGATGCAACCATTTGCTTTTACTTGCATCTGCAGGAAAGGACAAGATCTCTCCCCTCCCCTCCTCTTCCCCTGCAGAGTTAATTCAGTGCAAATTACTTTTGCACTTTGAACTCAATTTGCAGCTATTGAACTTAGTTGAAGACAAAGGGGGGAAGTTAGAGAATGAGAGAGAAAGCGGGGCATTTTAAGTTTGCCCCTCATTTATGGAACCATGGCATAATACATACCATATTTACTCAAGTATAAGGCTCATGATTTTTAGCTAAATTACATTGCCAAAACTGAGGTGTGCATTAGATTCAATGGGGCATTAGAATTGAACACATAAACCTACCTGTGTTTAAAACGCCCAGATGAACCAGGAACCCAGGAAACTAGACAGGGAGGAGGAGAGCTGTAAAGAGGCTGTTCCCATTGGCAGTAGCTTCAGGGCTCCATGGCTATCAGAGAAGGAGAAGCAGTGCCCTGCTCGTGCCCAGTCATTGGCCACTTAGCCATGGATCCAGCCAAAGGTATAGGTTTGAAACTCAGAAAAAAGAGTTTTTGTATTGTCAAAGGCTTTCATGGCAAGAATCACTGGGTTGCTGCAGGTTTTTCGGGCTATATGGCCATGTTCTCTCCTGATGTTTTGCCTGCATTTGTGGCAAGTATCCTCAGAGGTTGTGAGGTTTGTTGGAAGTGAGGTTTATATATCTGTGGAAGGTCCAGGGTGGGAGAAAGAACTCTTGTCTGTTGGAGCTAGGTGTGAATATTTCAATTGGCCACCTTGATTAGCATTTGATGTCTTAACAGCTGTGCATATTGAGGGAAGTGAAACACAACATACAAACTATCTGCACACCCAGTAAGAAGAAGGATCCTCTCACTTCTGCAGGAGTCTACCTTATACCAAGCAGCAGTGGACAAGTCTACATAGGAACCACCAAACGCATCACCCAAACATGAATCAAGGAACATGAAAAGCACTATAGACTACTTCAACCAGAGAAGTCAGCCAGAGCAGAGCACCTGATGAACCAACCTGGACACAGCATATTATTTAAGAACACAGAAATGCTGGACCACTCTCACAACCACCATGTCAGACTACACAGAGAAGCCATTGAAATCCACAAACATGTGGACAATTTCAACAGAAATAAAGAAACCATGAAAATGGACAAAATTTGATTACTGTTATTAAAAACACAGGGGAACTCCAGACAAGAAACAATCAGGAATACCTAATCACCTCTCAACAAAGGGATTTCCCAGGCAGTAGCAAGCCATACCTAAAAGCTGTCAGGCCATCAAATGCTAATCAAGGTGGTCAATTGAAACATTCACACCTGGCTCCAACAGACAGGAGTTCTTTCTCCCACCCTGGAGCTTCCACAGATATACAAACCCAATTTTCCCAGTTCCAACAGACCTCACTACCTCTGAGGATGCTTGCCATAGATGCAGGCGAAACGCCAGGAAAGAATGCTTCTAGAACATGACCATACAGCCCAAAAAACCTACAACAACCCAAAGAGTTTTTGTTTTGTCGAAGTGTTTTGTTTACATGGGATACAATAAATATCCTGAAAAAGATGAGTGAATGTATTGTCCTGCCTCCTGGGAAGCCCCTCCCCCTCCAAAAAAAAAAAAAAACAGTCCCATGCGCTTTCCAACTAGTCTCATTCACAAGACCTTAAAAAAAAACTCTTGGTTTTGAAGGTCTTGTGAATGAGGCCAGTTAGAAATAATGTGCAGCCTCTGCCTGATGGAGGGATGTGGTTTCCCAAATGGCCTCATAAATGTTGTCTGCCTCCCTCATGTGATATGCCTGTGCTGTTGGGCACATTACATTCAAGGGCAAATCCATTTTTAAAATGGTCACCTTCAAAATTGAGATATGTATTACATTCGATGGCACATTATATTCAAGGAAATGCGGGTAATACTTGGCTTTCTCAACTAGTCATATGCATACAAGCTAGAATTGGGCAAAGCACCCTGCCTGCAAATATATGCAATGGCTTACATACTTCTTCGCAGGACCACAAATTGCCAAATCAGTGCAACTGTGCAAATGAAGAGCCGTGCGATATCGAAGGTGCTCATTCTAGTAGGTAACTGTTATGAATGACTATGATTGCAGTGGAATAATGGGTCTGTGCAATAAAGTCCTAAGTGTGTGTCTACCCATATATCTATTAGTATATGCAAATATCATGCAATTTTTGTCATCTTCCACAGCAACATCTTTGACTAGAGATAAGTGGCTACTCTACTTAGAATAGACTTGCATACCTACTGTTATAAATTAATTAATTCATGAAATATCATCATTGAGTCAAGGCATATCTCAAGAGATGCAATGATACGAAGCATAGGCCATTTCCCTCATCCTGATTCTGATTACTTTTCTGTGCCTGGCAAATATCCTTTTGTTTTATCAAGCCGTTTAACCTGATGAGTTATTTTAAACTGTCATATTTGTACTCAGCTTTTTTCTTAATTGTCTTTTTATTAGGTATTTATTACTTTCTATCATGAATGGAGAACTTTTAGCCTTCAAAAAGATTTGGATTTCAACTCCTATAAGCCCCAGCTAAGCTAGGGACTCTTGTGGGAGTTTTAGACAAAAGAAAACCCTGGAGGACCAAATGTTCTTTATTCCTATTTTATATCTCATGTGAATTTGTCCTAGACAGGCCCATTAAAGCACTGAATGGAGATTCATTAAATTAAAAAAAATCTGCTTCTTGCAATTTTGTTAGAAACAAAGAGGAAAGAAGTGCAAAGCATATTATCTTCAATTTACTTGGGAGATTTGGACTTTCTCCAAAGCTCTCATAATAATAATAATAATAATAATAATAATAGTCACCACATCTCAGAAATGTACGAGAAGTACAAATAAACTACAGGACACAAAGATTTGCCTCAAATAGTATGACCTAACTTTATGTAAGAGACTTTTATTCATATTGTATTAGTTCTCAGGAGGCCCAATTCTCTTCAAGGACTAGTTAGCTGGACAAACATATCATTTGCTTTTTGCATGTCTTTGAACTATTCTCAAAACACAAGAGTAATAATTGGATACCCTCACCTCAGCTGGCCCATGCGGCATGGGTCATATATGTAAACATCCTAGTCGAATAACAACCCCAAAATTTAATTTATTTCCACCCAAACAAGTTCTTTTATCATAAAGCAATAAATTTGTCTTGGTGCTAGCAATTTGTTGTGGGTGACATAACATTGCAAATTGATTAATCGCTACTGTACACGACAAAATGAGAAAAGCAAGGAATTATTATGAATAGCGTCCATCTGATACAGTAGGGATTCATTATTCAAAAGTGTTTGCTAGTGGTTAGCTATCCCCCTGTTGCAAATTACATTTATTTGCAGACTTCCTACATCATGCTTATACAAATCTACAAACATGCATTTATTAAGACATAGAATGAAAGCTATTAAAACATGAAAAATTGCCTTTTTCCTTACTCCCCCTCCCCAAATATTATTTTTATATCTAGGTAGACTGTTGCTAGGCTGGCTGCATCAAAGAGAACACATATTTGTTGATTTCAAGCCTGGCCTGCAGAACTAGTCCTACAATTTAAGGGCATTAACTATCAGTCATTACTTCCTCACAGCTAGATTTTACATGTCTTTTGTAGTATTAATGTCAAAGCCAGAACACTTTTAAAAGAGGATATTTATACTTTTTAATAGGCTTTTCCCCCAGGCCCATGCTTAAAGTGAGGATAAGAGATCTTTTCAGTGGGCTATCATTTCTGAAACGGTCGCAGGGTCTTTTAATGAATACAGAATACAGAAATAAATGTAAAATAAAAATGAGAGATGTTCAGCCTGGACATAATGTGCTTTGGACAGAGTTTCTAAAATGCCAGATGACTACCTCAATGGGATCAGCAAAGGATCACAGAAAAAAAATGTTTATTTGATCTTAGTGCATCATTTTGCTTCTTTAGTGAAATTAAAATTATAAGCACATGAAGCAGTCATTTTATTCATAAGTCTGCTCTCTCTTGGCCCCACATGGCAGTTTTAAGAAAATAAAATTCTCTTATGAATTTATGAAGACTTTGGCAAATTTGGAAAGCAAGTCAAGAGAGGGAGCTTCTGGGTTGAGCTTAGAGCAGTGGTTCCCAACCTGTGGTCCATCGTGGAACTAAAATATGATCTGTGGTCTCACCATTACTACACCATTGCAACGAGAGCGACTGGTCTCGTGAAACCGTCTTACAGTGCCAAAGGAATGGGGGGATGTCGGGAGAGAAGAGGCTGACTACTCACAAAAGGCACTACCACAAGCCTCCTGGCTGCTGCTTCTCCTCCTCCCTCCCTCTCTCCCCCGTAGTGGAGCTGCTCCATGTGGCACCTGGAAGGGGGGGCGCATTGGTGTCTTTGTTTTTGGGCCTGTTCCTAGGGTTATTTGGGATGCTGATTCAGAAACTTGCATTGGATAGACTGCATCAGCTCTATTTATTAAATATGGTTTTCTGTGGGTGAGCAGATAGTGACTACTGCATGGTATATATTCTATATCAGAAACTAGAGGTGATGTGGTTTATCCAATGCAGTTTTCTGAATTAGCACCTTAAATAACCAAACCAAATCTAAAGTTGACCAAAAACCAATTCATAACCCTTTTGGTACGA